TCGTAAAGAATGTCTAACTTCGCACTTGTACATTCTTACGTTCTCGTTTTCTCTTTTAATTTTTCTCATATGACTATACGCGCTTTATAATATATATATATATATATTATAATATATATTATAATTATAATTATAATATATATATATATATCCACCCGATAGTCTGGTTTGATTCACGGCACGTCGTTTATATCGAGACATTATACCTCTGCATTACGTATCTGCATTCGTTCTTTAGCTTCTTTGTACATCTTTGTTCTTCACGCACGTGCATGCAGTCGCGATCTTTCTCTCGTACAGAAATCTTTCTGGCTCTCCTTTCATTTCCTATAAACGATGGATATCGATAATCATGATTCAAATACTGATTCTTCTCCATCCTCAAATTGGAAACGAACCGGAGAACCAAATAGACCAATAGCAAGAAGGGAGAAGAAGAAGAAAGGAAAGAATCAGACACACGAAGAACAAGCTATCACAAGTTCGTTTCAACCAAATCTCTGTAGCTCGTTTTCGTAATTCAATAATTTAGAATTTAGTAAATTTCGCTGACAAGGATTATAGTATCTATAAACACTCGATTCAAATCTTCGAGAATATTCAGAATCATCGACTATGTGAAAAATGTCACCTTAGTATTAGGAATGACACGCTTTCAGCGTGTGATTAATAATTGTCTATCAGACAACGATACTCACAATCAACAAAGGTAACAATTTTCAATTTTATTTCAACGATAATTTCAACGATAGAAAGATCGTGTTTAGCGAGAAACAGTTTGAATTCAAAATTCAAGCTCAACAGTCTTTCGAAGATATGAAACCAAACGTCTATAAATACCATTAGGTCATATTGGTACACAGGGATCGACGATGAAGTGGTGTGCTTAAGGGATAATTCGAAATACGAATATGCGTCAGTCAAATTGTATATAGGACGTAACTCATCGGTATTTCTCCGTGCCTTCGAACGATTGCACGGTGCACAGATTCGATTCATTTTTACGACGAAAATTTTCAAGTCATTGTTGTAATGATGTAATGGAAAATACAAAATCTCGTGTCGAAAGATATATCTATTCGTTACTCTCGTGAACGACCGTGTAGTTTTGTCTGTTCTATTATCCTCGAATAAATCTCACGTATTCCTTTAGAATCGGCAAATAGGCCTGCTTAAAGAGTAATTAGGCGTTGATTCTCGAAAGGAGATCGTTTTGTTCATTTTTCATTCTCATCACACTTTCTCTTTCCTTTTTTCCTCGTTCTTTTATTCGACACGATCTTTCTTTCCGCCTAACTATCAGCGGTAATCCTAACGGAGTACTCTAAAAATTATTACATTTATATTTATATATATAATATTAATATAATAATAGCCAATACAAATATCACATGTGATCACCTACTAGACTCGTTACACGAGTACTCGCTAATTCCGTTGTACAAAACGAGTCGAGTCTTCGAGAGTTTTTTTTTTCTTTTCTTTTTTTTTTTTTTTTTTTCTTTCAAATAAACTAGAAGATCTCGACTGTTGGAAGTCGCGGCGTGTAAATTAGTCCCCGATACTTTGGAAGGATATTTCTGTTTCTTCGTTTTAATTTTTTTTTTTCTTTTTTTGTTTTCTACTATTAATTCGTTTTGTTCATCTTAAATTGTTTTTTTTTTTTTTTTTAATTTTTTGGCTTTTTCTTGTTTTTCTATCTTTCTGTCTTTCTTTTACTTTATTATTATTATTATTTTTTTTTTTTTTTTTTTGAATAATGAGTCACCGAAGAACAGGTTCCTAATAATCGTATACAATTCGTTCGGCGTTTAATTCACGAACGATCATTGAGACTATTCGAACGATGAAACTTCTTTTTTCCTGTCGATCTTCCTATTCGTCCCGATCCCGTTTAAATTTAAAAAACGTGTATCAAGCTTAATCGTGCTCTCGAAACACGCGCACCGTACACGTTCTCTCGAGCTTCTATACGCTGTTTCCGCTCGATTCTCATGGCACGCTGAGGTGCGCTCGTGTGCGTTATTTATATGGCGGCAGCATGAAGAATACAAGGGTGGACGTTTCGACAGGGGTCGGGGGTGGCTTGGCGCAATCCCTGCATCAACCTTCGCTGGATAGCCTCAAGAAGAGTGGTGTCGAGGAATGTTTTCTCAACGAGGTGATCGATAACCACCCGGATAGAGCTGATATAGAGCCAAAACTCGCGCGAATGCTTCTCTCTCTCTGTGTTTTTTTTTATCGCGAAAGCGATTCGAAAAATTTGCATATTCGATGAGGATAAATATTCGAATATTCGTACATTCGGGTATTCGTTTCGTAACACGTTTCGAGATATATTTATGACAGAATTATAATGTTTATTTATTTATTTCCCCTTTTTTTTAGGATTTGATAGAATAATTTTGTGATTCCGGGATTACATGTCACCTCGAGGAGGAAACGAAGAAGTAGCAGACAACACAGCATTAATAGAAGAAGAAGTAGAAGAAGAAGAAGAATACGAAGAGGAAGAAATAACGCTGAGAGAAAGGAGCGACGGCTGCGCAAACGTACACGCACACATACATATATTCTTTGTTCATTATAATTATATTTCCCAGCGGCGAAAAAGCTGTGATTACAAGACTCTTCATTCGCTTAATTTCTCTCCCTTTCTCTCCTCTCTCCTCTTCTCGCTCTCTCTGTCTCTCTCTCTCTCTCTCTCTCTCTCTCTTCGATTATTTTGCTCTCTTTCTCTCTTTCTTTCAATTCTTGTTTTCTCTGCATCTGTAGCATACAAATCAGTCTCGCATTTTTTTTTTTCATTTTTATATCTTTAATTTCGCTTTATCGTAATACAAAATACTCGCTTAAAGATTCTCCACGTCTTTTTGCGCGCAGGATCACACGTAATAAATCACATTATCATAATATGTTAATATTCACAATTATACAATTAGAGATGTATACACAACGAGGTACAGAATTTCAGAAAAAATTACACTTGCTCATCGTTCAATCTTCCTTTTATTCAGTTTCAATTCTCTCTCTCTCTCTC